TATTACACTGGTGGTTTATCGAATGAAACTTTGGGAGAGTTAGGTACATTGAGAAAAATCCATCTTCCATCCCCTTGTATCTCGCCCAAATGCTTCCAATAGCCTGGCCTCCGCCAGCCCAGAGCCCGGAAACCTCGCAGCATCCGGTTTTCCCTCGTGGGTGCAGGGGCCCAAGCACCTGGGCCATCTTCCACTGCTTTCCAGCGCTTTAGCAGGAAGCTGGATCAGAAGTGGAGCAGCCAGGACTTGGATACGGGATGCCACCTTCCCACGCAGGGACTTAACCCGCTGTGCTACAACACCAGCCCCTCTCCTCTTCCGTGTACAGCCACTGAGGCCATCACAGGTGCCCCATCCATGACCTCAGCTAATCCTGGGCACCGCCCAAAGCCCCACCCCCAACACCTGCAGCGTATGAATGGGCGGGGGTGGTGGTGCTTGTTGGCAATGGTCCGAGTCTCAGCTCCTTGGCTCCGGACCCAGCTCCCAGCTAATGGTCCACCCTGGGAGGCAGCAGGAGATGGTTCAAGCACCTGGGGCTCTGCAGCCCACGTGGGAGACCTGAGTCGGGCTACAGGCGCCCAGCATCGGGGCCCAGCGGGTGGAAGACCTCTGCTGTCTCCATCTTCCCAGGAAAAAGCTGTAAGGAGACAACGTTCAAGCCACTGCCAGCGCCCCGGGCCCTGAGTGCATGAGCCCACAGGCACGCTCCTCCCCCCGCTGCTGTCCGCCTTGCAGAGCTGCAGTGAGCATCTTTTAAAAACATCTGAAAGGGAGTGTGACGGGGTGGGGGTGGGAGGTGGGGAAGGAAGATTCCACCGGCTCACTCCCCAAACGGCCACAACTGGGCCAGGCTGAAGCTGGGAGCCAGGAGCTCCATCCGGGTCTCCCACGCGGGTGCAGGGGCCCCAGCACCTGGGCCATCTTCTGCCTTCCCAGGGGAGTTGGATGGGAAGTAGAGCAGCCGGGACTTGAACCGACACTTGCACATGGGAGGCAGTGGCTTCACCAACGCCGCCAGTGCACCAGCCCCTGGTGAGCCCTGGTGCACTCTGCCGTCTGCCCCACTCGAGCGCGACAGTGCCACCTGCTGGCTGGGCAGGGTTGCAACGAGGAGGGCGCTCCCCTCTGCTCTGTTAGGATTCTGGGAAGCAGCCAGGGGCCAGGCACTCCAACCGGGTCTCCCTGGTAGCTGGCAGGGGCCCCCCGCCCCTGAGCCATCACCGGCTGCCTCCCAGGTGCGTGAGCAGAGAGCTGGATCCGGGGCAGAGGAGCCGGGATTTGAGGCAGGCACTCGGATCCGGGGGCAGCCGCTTAGCTGCTCCTTTGCCGGGCTTTACTGCGATGGCTCAGTCTGGCGACCGAGTTGCCACTGCCACACACATCGGCCCACAGAAACCCCACGTGGCCCCAGCCCGCCACAGCTGCCACGCCTATCCCACACGACGCTGCAAAACCTGCAACTTCCCCAGTGCCGCCGGCTGGACACCGAGACTGGAGAGGCCCACTCCACGGACCTGAGCTTCCTCGCCGAGATGGCTCCAAGTGCTGGCTAAAGCCACAGCGGGCTCCGGATGTGGCTGGGGTTCGCCCCCACCCCACCCCCGGGAGCTGGTGGAGGCTGCGGGTGCTGCCAGCTACAAGGCGGGGCTCAGGGCTCGCCGGGGACTCCCTGCTGGCTCTCACCAGCGTATCCGTGATACCAGCGCGAACCTGGCCTCTCCCAAGCTCTCTGCACCTGCACCGCGCTCCGAGTGGAATCCCACCACCACCTTCCCCGGGATGATACTTTTGAAGATGGATTGATTTATTACTCGGAAGGCAGAGTTACAGAGAGAGAATCTTCCATCCACTGGTTCACTCCCCCCAAAGCCCACAACAGTCACCAAGGCTGCGTGAGGCCACAGCCAGGAGCCAGGGTCTCCCACGTGGGTGCTGGGTCCAAGCATTTGGGCCGTCGCCTGCTGCTTTCCCAGGCGCATCAGCCGGGGAGCTGGACCGGAAGTGGGCCCATGCAGGTGTCAGGGCCCCAAACCTCTAAAACGGAGCTAAAAGCAGCTGGCTCTTCGCAAGAGCAACCCGTGTCAGACCTGGAGTCCGAGTGAGCGCGGCCACGCGGTTACCTCGGGCTGCGTGTGTGAGAGCCCGAATCCCCCGTGCAGGCGTGGGCTGCGGCCCGAGGCTTCTCCTCGCGGGGGTGCCACGCGGACCGCCCCCGGTGCCTGCATTTCAGAGTCCTGCTGGCGTCAGGATCAACTTAGCTTCCTCCTGCTCTGCTGGGCTCTGCGCGGCTGCTCCGCCTGCATCAAAGCCGGCTGCAGCCGCGCCCCCCCCAACACCCCGAATGAAGGGCTCTCGCTTTGCCGGCTCCCCGCCTCCTGCAGGCTCCCCTGGCGTCTCCCCAGGCCCCGCCGCGCCCACTTCCCTTCACAGGGAGGGCTTGGGGTCTAACCTGTCACTGGGAACCGAGCCCAGCGCGGGGGGGGGGGGACCACCGCGCTCTGTCCCACAGGGGCTGGGGGGGAGGGGAGGATGGCGGAGGGGTCTTCTGTACGGGGGTCCCGCGGCTGGCTGCTGCTGTGAGCAGGGGAGGGGCGTGGGCTGAGCGGCGTGGCTTGTGGAGGTGGGGAGGACGCCACGTTGGGCGGGGGCCACGGTTCAGCTTGGCCTTGTGGAGTTGGGGGCCCACGAGACGCCCCTGGAGGGCTGCATCTCTGGGGAAAGACAACGAGTGAAGATCGGCAGC